TCCCATCTGGGCAGATGAGGAAAGGGAAACACCATCCTTTTGAGTTCTCTTACACCAAGGGTAACAGCTGGAACAACCATACGATAAAGCAAAATACACACAGAAAAGGCCAGACAGAAGCCTGGGAGATGAGACAGAAGAAAGCAGCTAAGCAGACACATCCAGCAGTGCTGAGTTTTCTATTTTTCCGTTCCTCTGCCCTACCACAAAGCAGGCCAAGAACAGCTCTATGCCCCTGAGCACACTATGCTCAGGCACACCCTTGCACCACCAATAACTCAGGAGTGCTCATCACTCCTCATCACTTACTCCTTGACTCAAGACTTGCCCCTTCTGGGACCTCCTTGAAGTCATTCTTCATGTTACAGCAGTTTCTGCAAGTCAGCAAGGAGTCTGAAGTGGTGGGTCCTGAATGTGTGGGGTATGTGTCCATGAAGTTAAACACAAACAGCTTCAGCAAACTTAAAGAGAATCTCTGACGCATTAAAGATCAACAGAGCATTCTTCTGAATGAGCCACACGATCTGGCAGTGCTCCCTCCATCATCAATACCAATTTCCTCCATCAACAGGAGACAGAATAATAGCAACTTCCTCTATATAATGCAGCCCTTAATTGTCCCAGATCAAATACTGGCTCCCAGAGGCTATTCATTCTGCTCTATAGGTAACCATGTCCTAGGCAAGATGCAACAGCTTTTATCAAGCAAATGTTAAATGCTGCAGGAAGCCCAGAAGGCGCGTATGGAGATTGCTAATAACAATCTACCACATCCCTGCACTGGCTTTAACTGAACACGCAAACCACTGCTGAGAGCAACTGTGGGTACTTCAGTGACCAGAAAACACTTGCAAGCTCTTGCTCATCTGAGAGGCAGCAAATCCATACAACCACTGTCAGATCAGGTTTCCCCCCCCCGTATCAGGGCTCCACGACACCTCTGATCCCCTTCCTAATGACAAAGTCTTCATTGATTTCAACAGAACTCAGCAAGACCTAGCAGAAGAGGAACTAAAGAAAAGAGGAAAATGTCAAGTGAGTCATTAGCGGGTAGAGAAAGGAACTGTGTAGTAAGTAGTCTTCTTTTCCTCCTTTAAAAAAAACGATACCACAAATTGAGGGAATCCTTTGTCATTAGTGAAGCTGCAGCAGTAACGAGCCCTGCACAGTCTGCAGGAGTGAGGAATTCCTCCACTCAGAGGGGTTACTTACGCCAAATCCCAATAAATACACAGGTAAAATTAACCTACTTGTTTGGAAACCTCTAGATGGGAGTTCAGATCTTAAATACAAGAACAGACCCAAACAGAGAGAAGCAAGCAAACCAGCACCAAACCAGAAGATTTTTCTCAACTTCGAACAGCTAAGAAAATTCCTTTTTTTTTTTTTATCTTTTGGCTGCTATCGCCAACATTATGACCTTTGTGTTGAGCAAGCGCTTGGATGCTGAAACAGGAGGGGAATGTATTTCCCATCATTAGCAGGAACAGGCACGGTCCCCCTATCTTTCTAACTCTGTTACAGCACAAATGTGTTTTCTTTTGAACATCCTTTGGTGCGTACTTCCATGCATGCATCTTTTTGATTTGATTTGCCCTCTGTTACCACAACACAGACCTTTTTCCTTGGGCTGGTTACTACAGCAACAGAATCTGTTTGAGTTTGGTAGCAACACATTGCAGGCATCAAAAAATCTGCTATTAGCTCAAGAAACATGAAACTACATGTCAGTAACCCATGCCACAGAGATATCTTCCTGTAATATCTTACCCCTGCCTTTCTAATTACGAAAGTCTGTGAACCCCCACCTCCTTGGCAGAGCACAAGCCTGAGCAACCTCTGTCTTCAAAGGACGCACAACAGAGGTGCACTGCCCACCATCTCCTGTCTGCCTGTCACTGCAGAGAAACCTCCACGAGCCAGATTTGATGGACTTCATGGCCAGAAATATATTATACTCCACAGATGCTATTACTCACACTAATGGTTAAAGCCAAAGTTTCACTTTAAATTCCATATGTTATCACATATGCATTCTTCTGCCCGCATGTATTAGTACTAATACAAAAAGAAGAAGGTTTGGGGGGGTGCGGGGGGCTGGGCGTTCTAGTTAAAAAAAAAAAAACTGAAGAGGAGTCTTCCTGTATTGTCATTTCACTGCAAAGAAACTGTATTAGATATTATATTAAGTTACTCCACGGAACTCTTGTACAACTCGGAAGGAAAAAACGCTCAGTGCACAGAGTTATTTCTATCTAATTCACTGCCTTGGGACACAAGAGGGTTTTTATTGCAGCAGGTGAACAATTACTAGTACTTAGCTGTCAGGTGAGAGACTGCTTCTTCCCCCCAGCCACAATACAGCCCAAATGCAGCATATACGTTCTCGACATTAGCAATATATTAAAGACAGCTCAGACTGGTCAATCTGATCATTTCTCAGCCACAGCCAGCCATGACAAAAAGCTCAGCCAGATTATTACCACTGTTATTAATTAGTTTCTATCCTGAGAGAACAACCTATGCCAGATTTGCTCCTAATTTAAACTGAGGGAACTTGCCCAAAAACGTTTTATCCGGTGACACGCAGTGTAGCCCCTACTGAGTGAGCATGCTATTATGAGAAAGCAAACTGATACAAATATAGCAGAGTGACAGTATACACTCTGCAGTTATTTCCTCTGCGAAACAGAGAAGAATGAAGCGGGTAAGCTGCTCAGCCAGCTTACTGCTAAGGCCATTGAAAATTGCATTGACGACATCAACAAAAATAATCAGTTAAAGACAAATCTGAGCAAATAATTCTCAAGTAACATTTTAAACTGAGGAATTTGACCTCCTCTCAAGTATTCACAAACCTGAGAAGACACGTACATTTCCACCAGCTTCTTCTCCATTTATATTCACTCACAGAATAGATTTTTTTCCTGTAATTTTTTCCTGTTAGCTTTTATTTTTACTAGCCAAATTGATTGCAGGTTGATGTAAGAATTAATCATCCCATATCTGAAAACCTACTTGTGATGGATAGGCTGGGACAGGGCAGATATTAAACTTCATTGTTGGTACTTGGCTGATTGATTGAGTGTGCATACACACGCACTCTTCTGCAACCCATAATTCACACATAGAAATTCAGATTATGATTTTCATAGCTAAAGCCAATAAAGCAAACAACCCCAAAATCTTGTTTTTTTTTTTTTTAAACTCTACATGTAGAAAGGAACATGGTTAGAAGTGTATATCTGCAGGAAAAATAATGAAGCAGCATATAGTCAGCAAAAATTATTTTCTGGCAGTATTTTCCCAGCTACAGTTGAACTGCCAACTTTGAAGAAGTTATTTTAGCACACAAGATGAATGTATCTTAGGAACAAAAAGAATCACTTGTCCTAATCCTCCTCTCATGCTGTTCTCAGACATGAAGCATTGCTTAAAAAATGCCCATGGAACAGACTGAAAGAAGTTGCTGCTTCTCTATATAGTTATTTATAATAGATAATCTTAGAATCACTCTTCATTCCAGCTCATCATTTATGGTGTTGGCAAAGTTGCTCCAGTGAATTTAGTCTCATTATTCACCTTCGGGTTGTACAATATCTTGTATTTTATATATCATACTGCTTTACCCAGTGGATCCCTCACAAGCACTTACAGAACCAAGTGAAGGTGAATAATGATCCAAGGACAAAGCTAAATGCTGAAATACTATGATTTTATGGCCAGTTACAGGAAAACATAGACACACTTTGGATATGCAGAAGAACCTC